GAGAGAGATACCGATACCAATTGGTTACCTCCCGCACATGCCCTGACCTGGGCAGGGATGAAGCTGCAACCCAGATTTGTGCCCTTGACCAGGAATCGAACCCACGACCCTTCGGTCCTCAGGCCGATGCTCTGACCACAGAACCACACCCCCCAGAGCATATTGTTGCATTTTTTTTCCTGCTTTCATAATTAAAAGAAATGCTAAATTTTAGTAGAACATAGTGAAAATAAATTGAAATGATTTTTCCACCCATATTCTTAGACTCTGAATTCTATTAATGGGTACCTTGTGGTTCTGTGGACCACAGGTTAATCTGCATTAAAAACTCTTTGTGCCCGGCTGGTGTAGCTCAGTGGTTGAGCATCGAACCAGGAACTAAGAGGCCACCAGTACAATTCCCAGTCAGGGCACATGCCTGGGTTGTGGATTTGATCCCCTGTGGGGAGCATGCAGAAGGCAGCTGATCCATGATGTTTCTTTTTCATCGATGTTTCTATCTCTCCCTCTCCCTTTCTCTCTCTAAAAAATCAATAAAATGTATTTAAAAACACACACACATGAAAAACCTCTTTCTTTATCCTGTGCCCTTCCCTAGGGAAGTAAGCAGAAGGTGGTAGAAACCCAGCCTCAGAAGTTTCCTTGTGCCTGAAGGACTATCCCACGATCCCACGGGTGGGAGGCAGTCTAACCCCGTTTTCCAAAGGTTAGCTAGGCATCCAGTCTTGAGTTTTGACCATCTAAACAGTCCTGATTTGCTCTGTACAGCGCCTGACAGAGTCACATGCCAGGGGACAAACTGGCTTAGTTTTAAAAATGTTATTTAGCATTTTACCCCAAATCTAATCAATTTCTTAGCACCTTCATGGTAGCAGAAGGAAGTTCGTGCTATGGAAATCAAAAGGAAGTGATGGATACAAGAAAAGACACTACAAATGAAGAATTTTTAGTTGACTGGATATAATTACAAAGCTATATAATTTTAATAACTCTGGAAAGTACAAACATGTTTTATTGTTTGAAATGGTAAACATTAGGAATCTGACTTAACTGATGAGTAAAGGCATATAGCATCTTCAGAGTCTTCATAACATAATTTGAATAATTGGAATTTGAGAGCTCACATCCCTTTCTTCAGGCTTGAACCAAACAATAACTGTTAAGAGGACTCTGGAGATTATAGATACTTGAAAACATGTTTCTGGCTCATCTTTGTCTCCATGTATACTCCCTATTGCTATGTAAAATTTTACCCCCAAAGTTAGGATCTTGAAGAAACAACTTTTATTTCAGGAATCTAGGCATGGCTTAGCCTGTCGCCTCTGCCTCAAGGTCTCTCATCCCATTGTTGGCCTGTTGAGGCTGCACTTGAAGGGTCAGCTGAGGGAGGATCTTCCAAACGCTCTCATGGGATTGTTGGCAGGTTTCAGTTCCTTACAGGCGGTTGGTCTGAGGGCTTCAGTTGACCTCCCTCAGTTCCTTGCCATGCGAGTCTCTGCACAGCCACCACACGGCAGTGGACTTCCCTCAGAGAGAATGGGAGAGGAGCACCTCAAATGGAACGGTGTTCTGTAACTTAATCTGGGAAGAGACCTTCTATCACTGTTGCCATATTCCAGTGATGGCGAACCTATGACACGGCGTGTCAGAGGTGACACGCGAACCCATTTTTTTGGTTGATTTTGTTGTTGTTGTTAAATGGATTTTAATATATAAAATAAATATAAAAAAGTAAGTCTTTGTTTTACTATGGTTGCAGATATCAAAAAATTTCTATGTGTGACACAGCACCAGAGTTAAGTTAGGGTTTTTCAAAATGCTGACACGCCGAGCTCAAAAGGTTCACCATCATTAGATACCCTTCTGTTTGTTAGAAGCAAGCAACTAAATCCAGCCCATACTTACGGGGAAAAGATTATACAACAAGGTCATGAATACCAGGAGGCGGGGATCATTAGGGGTCCATCAGTAGCTGTTTACCACTACATAAGGACAATGTTGGGAATAATTCATTGTTAATCAGACTCCAGTACTGTTTGGTAGGTAAATTTTGACTTTGAAACTAAAAGTTACTGTTACTAGATGATTTATATTGTCATTATTTCTCCTTATTTTCCAGAATAATCTGGGTATTTTGTGGTCTGAAAGAGAAGAAATTGAAACAGCACAAGCTTACCTAGACTCATCAGAAGCACTATACCTTCGGTATATGAAAGAGGTATGTTGCATGTCAGATAAATTTTAACATTTCATTGAAACTAGTCAAGAACTGATGTTAAGAATTTCTTACTCATAATTTTTGTGTATGACTCCTCAGTATACTTAGGGACCTCTCTATAGAGCTGTCTAGGTGGTCACCTAATAGCTGTACTTGTAGACACTGTTATAAGTGATTTACAAATTTTAACTCATTTAATCCTCATGGCAATTTCTGAGGTGGGTACTTTTATTATTCTTAATTTAGAGGTGAGAAAACAGACCACAAGGGATTAAGTTACTTGTCTCCACACACTAGGAAATTGTGAAGTTGGGATTCTAATCCGCACAATCTGATTCCAGAACCCGTACTTTTAACCTAGACTCTGCTGCCTCACTTAGTAGTTGGACTTAGTGTAGAACACAAGTGCTCAGTGCTCCTTTAAGAACAGTGTAGTGTCAAAATGATGATAGCAGATAGAAGCAATGCACTGTAAGCAGAATGCACAGATTGAGCATTCCTATTTGCTTTGTCAGTTTATATAATTATTATCATTATTTTCATGGGGTGGGGAGAGCACAGACTTTGTATACATATCTGAGTTTGAATCCTGAACCTATTAACCATGTAGCCTTCTGATAAGTCACTCCACTTCTCTGGGCCTTAGATTCCTCATATGTGAAATGGAAATAATGATACTTGCACCCTGTAGCATTGGTCAAAGAATGAACTAACATAGGTATAAGATGGTACTTGGCACAGAGTAGGTGCTCAACTAAAACTGGTTTTACTCTCCTTCCTGCTCTCTCTCTTTAAAAAAAATTATCTTTATTGTTGAAAGTATTAGATACCCCCCCCCAATTAACTCCCTCTACCCTACTCCTGTTCCTTCCCCAGTCCTTCACTGCACTATTGTCTGTGTCCATGGGTTATGCATATCTATATATATAAAAGGCTGTATCCCTCTGACCATCCGACTGGTAGCTATGATGTGCACTGACTACCAGGGGGCAGACGCTTAACACAGGAGCTGCCATGCCATGCACTGGCTGGCACCACGGACCTGGCGCTGAAAAAACCAACACTCGGCTTCCCCCAAGTGGGACACAGGCCCCGACACCACCCCAAAGTGACACTCCACCAAATTGCAGCCAATGCTGCCAAGACCCCATGGCGCAAAATGCAGCCCATAGCCCAGCCCAGCCCGCTAACGATTGCTGTGGGTGCTAAGTAATGACGTCAAGTAGCAACGCCCGGCTTCCTCTCCCTAGTTCGATCTGTCATTGTCAATTGTGAATTTGGTTGACACTTCTATTATAGAGAAAGGGTGAATAGTGATATTAAAATATTTCTTCTAATTAATTTCCTTTCAGTGTGCATGAATCCATGCACCAGGCCTCTCGTATGCATATAAGTTCTTTGGTTAATTTCTCCCACCCCTCCTTTCCCTCTGAAATGCATCAGTCTGTTGCATGCTTCAGTGTCTCTGGGTCTGTTTTATTCAGTTTATTTTGTTCATTAGATTCCACATATAAATGAGATCATGTGATACTTGTGTTTCTCTCACTGGCTTATTTCACTTAGCATAACACTCTCTAGGTCCCTCCATGCTCTTAAAAGGTAAGAGAGCTTTCTTTTTTATACCTGCATAGTATTCCTTTGTGTAAATGTACCACAGCCTTTTTACCCACTCATCTACTGATGGGCACTTGGGCTGTTTCCAGATCTTAGCTATTGTAAATTGTGCTGCTGTGAACATAGGGGTACATATATTCTTTGTCATGGCTCTTCTACCTTGGTGTTATAACTTTCCTCCTTAAGAACTAAGAAGAGCAGAGAACCACAAAGCCAAATTGAGATGTTAATCTCTGTTTATGATTTTAGGCTCACTCTTAATATATGAATTTGTTAAATTAAAATGTAAAGATACCAAAAACCTATAATATTTCATTCAAAACTAGTATTAATAAGGAAACATAAAACATGTAGCAAAACACTGTGTACTTAAAAAAATGTATGTATTGATTCAAGAGAGAGAGGAGGGATGAGGGGAAGAGAGAGAAACATCAATCACCTGCCTTCTGCACATCCCCCGCTAGGGATCGAGCCTGCAACCCAGGCATGTGCACTGACTGAGAATGGAACCAGCGACTTTTTTGGTGCATAGGATGACACCCCACCAACTGAGCCACACAGTTCAGGCCGCTCTATTTTTATACCTCTGTTTTAGTTAAGAGACTGATTTAACTGCCAATGTTACACATAAAGTGTAATAGTCATAACAGTGAAGTATGTACATAAAATAATACATTGACTAATTCCCCTCATTAAGACAGGGGTAAGCATACTAAACAGCCCTTAAAATTGTTGAGATGGTCTTTGCAGAATTAATTAAAAATCTATTGTGTTTGCCTTTGGCCTTGCTTCCTATCTTAGTCATTTTCACTTTCTATGAATTCTAGGACCCCAAGTCATGATGCTTTTATTGTTTGCATACAAAATAGATTTTTTTTTTCATGGGAAGTATTGTTACTATTTGGAGTTTAGTGAATTCAGTTTAAAGTATGGATGGGCTTGTAGATGAAACTGTTCTCAAACAAGTAGAATTAGGCACAGCCCAGACACCTGACCTGACCGGGAATTGAACTGTGACCTCCTTGTTCATAGGTCAGTGCTCAACCACTGAGCCATGCAGGCCGGGCAAGAATAACTGTTTTTAGTGTCCCTGTATTGAAAGAGGGTAATCAGCCCTGGCCTGCTCAGCTGGTCAGGGCATTGTCCCAATACCTCAAGGTTGGGGATTCAATCCCCAGTCAGGGCACATACAAGAATCAACCAATGAAACTGGCTGCTCTGAAAAGCCATCTTTGCATTGTTCTGTGGCTGCCTCTCCGCTGGCTACAGCTACCTCCAACATGGGCCTCCTCTGCCACTTTGGATTCCAGCAACTTCTACGCCAGAGTTCTCCAACTCTCACTTTAAAAAAAAAATTCGGTGCATCGGATCACTGGCGTGCCCCACCATGTCAGACACGGCTGTGGACACCAGCTCCGAGATCACCACCAGGGAGCTGAAGAAGGATGCTGGGAAG